TCCATGCCTTTGGTGAAGTCGTAACTCAGGTACATCTGCAACTCCGAGACGTCGCTTTGCGTTCTCCTGATTGATGAATCACCTGAAAACCTTGAAATCAAGTTAGTAGCTTGTGAAAATAAATGTTTGGCCTTCTTACTTACGTTTTTAGATGGTTGGGAAGGCCCTGAGCGAGGAACGGTGCCATATTTGGCTTCATAGACTCTATATAAAGCAAAAAACTGATCCTTCACATTAGTCTTATAGTTTTCTACATCATCGTCAAGAAACATGCATTGAAAGTAAATGTCAACTAACATAAATGTGTTTTCATACTTTTGCCTAGGATCTAATATGGAAGCAAAAATATAAATCAAAGGAATCTCACTATAATATTTACGCCACTTTTTTTCCATTGCTGGAAGATACTGATCATAATCACTTTGATCGCGATGATCAGCGAAAAGTTGGGCGAGTAAGCATGCATTAGAAAGAAAGTTTTGAGCACAAGGATTGTAAACAGTAGAAAAACAATACGTCATGTTATATAATAACTGTAAAAATTGCATATATCTTTCACAGTTATTCCAATCATCATCATACAAAGCATTTTGTGGAAATTTTTGGTTGTAAAATAATGTTAACGGGCCCTTGTACTCAATTGCCTTTGTTAACATGTCATAGGTGGAATTCCACCTAGTTGGGCAATCGGTTCTAATTTTTATTACCCTTATCTTTTGTTGTTTTAGAAAACTCTTCCATTCTTGGTATCTCATGTTAGAGCTATTAATAGACATAATAGCATCTCTGATTTTGCTGTAGTATGGGCCAATTGCCCGAACTCCATCCTGTACACATAAGTTAAGTACATGGCAAACACATCTAGTATGAAGAGCTTCACCGTCTAATAGTACATCGGTTAAGTTTTGTTTGATAAGATTAGCTGTGTATGTCATAGAGGTTGCATTATCAAAAGTCATAGACATCATTTTATCTCGAAGGTTGTATTCGTCTATTGCTTGCATTAAATGGTGAGCAATGTTAATGCCGGTGTGTGGGTATTCCAGCATTTTGAAATGTATTATTCTTTTTTGTAACATCCATTGATCATCTACCCAATGGCAAGTCACACATAAATAGTGATATTTATAACCACTATCCCAAGAATCGGCTGTTAAAGATACTCTACAGTTAAGGTTACTCAATTCGGCTTGTAACCGGACTTTGTACTCTAGGAAATTTTTCATTGCTGCGGAACGAACAGTTTTCCTAGAGATTCTTTTATGTTGGGGTTGTAGTGCTTTGTTAATGTAGGTGTTGAATGCGTCACTTTCCGAGAAAAGAAAAGGTTGTTCAGCGTGTACTATCATTTTTCCTAGTTTATCCCTATCCCTCTCATAGTTGTATGTAAAGCCGTATGGATGGAATTGGGAAATTTTGGGCTGGGTTGGATCACTAGCTGGTTTTGCACAAGCTTTCATGTGTCTAGATAAGTGTCCCGTCCCGTTTTTGGTAACTGCCGTGAATACACTATTACATGTTTTACATTTTGCCCATTGTTCACCATCTTTACTTAGGACAAAATAACGCCATACCTCACTCCTTCGGTTTTTCAAAAGTAGCATCTCAGTTTCGGTTAACCATTCATGATGTGTGTATTGGTTAGTAGGGGGACTAGTGGGAGTGGCAGTAGAAGGGGTAGTAGAACCGGAGGGAATTCGGGTACTTTCTTGGCTACCTTGGCTAGAACAATAGTTTTGTTGATTACCGATATAATTAGGTGGAAATTGGTATGGTGGTTGTGGAAATTGGTTTAGTGGTGGTGCTGGAAATCCCGACGTATTATATGGCTCATAGCCCGGGGGGAAGTAAATGGGGTCATTGGTTTGACTCGTAATTTGGGGGCTCGTTGTATTTGGTGGTTCCCTAGAACTACTACTACGGATAAGTCGGCCTTTCCCCCTAGACCTAGATGATGGGTTGTTCGATGCCATAATTAACAATTAATTTTTTAATAAAAAGTGGTTAACTATAATAATAATAATTAATAACAACAATTTTAACAATAAAAATATCAATAATAATAATTAATAACAACAACTATAACAATAACAATAACAACAAAAATAAATAATAACAACAATTGTAACAATAATAATAATTAATAACAACAATTATAACAACAACAATAACAATTAACAACAATAATAATTAAACAAGATTATTCTAATAATAACAATAAAACAATAATAAATTTAAGATTAGTTTAGATCTTACAACCGTGCTTCAACGCTCCACTAATTACGATTACGAACTTTTTAATTTTTTCCGATATTAGGAAAATAATTAGAGAATTTAAGAGAATAATTAGAGAATTTAAGAAAATAAGGATTATTAGAGATTTAGAGAATATAAGAGATAAGAAGAAGAGATTGTGATTTTGTGATTTGGGAATGAAATGGAGGTGAGTATTTATAGAATTTTTGGCAAAAAACTAGCCGTTAATTAGCCGTTGAACTAGCCGTTGGCCCGCGGGCCGTGCTTGCGGGCCGTGCCTGCGGGCCGTGCCTTCGGGCCGTGCCTGCGGGCCAGCACGGCGGGCCTTGCTCGTGCTCGTGCCGGGCCGTGCCTGGGAATTCTCCACCGTGTCCGTGGCACGGCCCGTGGCACGGAAGTCGACGTTCGTGCCGTGCCGTGCTTGACTTCGGGCCGTGCCGGGCTGCTCCGAACGGCGGGCCGTGCCGGGCGGCACGCGGGCCAACCCGGCCCGTGCCCAGGTTTACTAGGAATCATTATTATCATTCAAAACATCAAATCAAGGAAAACATCCTAACATGATACTAGGAATCAAAATAGGAACCTAAACATGATTTATATATCATAATATCAATAAAAACAATTAAAGCACTTACTTGGATGCCTCGTATCTCTTTCTAATAACAAAATTTATACATTAGTAACTTCAAGGAAAATAATAATCAAACAATTAAATCAAATAATTGAAATAGAGATTAAGAAAGTTTAGACTAGATTTGGGACCAAATCCTCTGAAATCAACCTTGCACGTCTAGGGCGAGGCAACTTCGAACAATGCTAGGTATGTCTAGTGATAATGTATGATGAATTGTGTTTGTAAAAGGTTAGGCTTAGAAAAGAGGGAGAGAGAGAATAAGTATTAGCTTTGAGAGAGAAAAGAATTAGAGAGTTTTTTGTTGAGTGATGATGATTAAAAATAGAGGTCTAAGGACCCTATTTATAACGAAAATCAGTTCGGATTTGATAAAAAAATAAGCAGAGTTTGAAGAGGAATAAAACTCAACGATGTCGCCGCAACTTCCTCTGTTGCCGCTCGACAGGGTGCAGCGCCGCGCGACAGAGTATGTCGCCGCGCGATAGGCCTGTTGTCCGGCGCTGCAAGATAGTTTTTTCGGATTTTTTTTTTATCATATATTTTGTTCCAGAAGTCCAAATAAGGAATATAATATATCGTTGGAATGTTCTTGAAGTATACTTTCCAACCCAATTGTATTTAGCTTAAAATCTTTTGTAGATAAAAATATATGACCGAGATAGTGGAAGGGTGTCAGTTTTGGATAGAGTTTCATATTCCATTCATATCTTTTTCGTTATTGTTCGGAATTAATATTATAATATATCATTGGAAAGATAATTTCAAGATATATCCAACCATATAAGATTTGGAAAAGATTATGAGGCACGAAAATAATATCTGAGTGTCTTTGAACATCTTTAAATTCGAATAGAATTAGGATTAATAGAAAGGAAAATTTTTATAAAAGGAAAGTTTTTATTTAACTCAAATTCTTTAATCTTATCTTTTCCAAAAGAATAATTAAGATCTTTTAGAAACTTATATAAGCTTCTAATCAATCCTAATTATTTTAGGAAAAGGATTAGACCTTTGGACCCTCCACATGATCATTGAGCCGCAGGTAAAAACGGTTTGGCCAATGTTTAGTATTTTGGCCATAACTTCCTCATTATTAATCAGAATTAGGCCTATAATATATTGTTGGAAAGCTCTTTTTGAGCCCAATCCAACTACACTATTATTGGACCCTTTCCATAAACCAAACTAAATTATATTGGCTATTTTCATAAAATAGGTTTCCGAAAAAAGAGAGAAAGAAGAGAATTGTAATAAAAACTAACTCAATACTATACTTTCCACACTTTCACTTCATTCGATTGTGATTCGACGTGAAAAGTATTCATCACCGGGTTTGGTTTTGGGGAGAAACAAATGGGTGTTTACAAAGGGTTTAACCCTTCTTTCCACACATTTCACACCTAAATTCTGACTTTTTAGAGAGAGAAAGAGATAGCGTTAAGAGAGAGAAACTCGACATCCGTTCGCCTGAGATTTCGCGTTTCCCGGCTGCTTTTCGAGGAATACATTCGTTCACCGCGTGTAGCAGTTTTCATATTTCCATTGATAAGTTAACGGTAACCGCCCGTACTCCTTTCAAGATTTTTATAATTTTCCGCTTGTGTAGTCAGGCTTCAAAAATAAAAAGGACTCTCCATCAACCCACATGGCACCGACTAGGTCATTCAGCCGGTCTCCTAGTACGACTGAATCTAGAATCGGGGGTGCCTTTTCTTGAAATTCAGACCTGCTTTTCTCATCCCCAAACACCAACTTTCATTTGCGTCGTCTCTTTTGCGTCAGTCGTAGAAACCAGCGAAGCAAATGATATATTTTAGTTTCATTATAAGTTATTTGTGTCGCTCATTAGCTATGAAGCGACATAAAAGCCTGATATGCTTCAGCTTTATGTTATTTGCGTCGCATTTATTTATTAGAACGACACAAATAACAATCTTATTTGCGTCACTCCTGTAGGATAAAGTGACGCAAATGAATTTGTGAGTTATTTGCGTCACTTCTTTAATTAGTGAGCGACGCAAATAGTTAATTCACATCATTACATTACATTTAAGTTATTTGTGTCACTTCTTTAATTATTGAGAGAAGCAGATAAGTATAGGTTAGTAATTAGTTCTAAATTTTTTACCCATCTCGCCATTTGCTTCTGCCTCCAAATTCGATATACCCACAAAAAAAATATTCTTGCTACCCATTTGTTGCTTCCTTCAACAACTGAATTCAACATAGCAATTTGACCAAATCAAAACCTCAATAAATAGAAAGATCGAAGCCGATAATCTCTCATTTTGTAGCACAAAATCGAACCAAAACCCCCAGCAAAATCGAACACTAAAAACCTTATAAAATTGAGCAAAAACCCCCCAATTCGAGAAGAAGTTCGCTGTATAAACCCCCAACAAATTCGAACCATGCAAACTTCAAAAAAATCGAACATTTTCTAGACAAAACCCCCCCAATTTGAGCAGAAATTCTAACCTCAACCCCCAGCAATTTCAAACCCTGAAACCCCAAAAAAATTGAACATTTTTGAGCCAAAAACCCCCCAATTCAAGCAGAAATTCAAACCTAAAACCCCAAAAAATATGAACCCTTGTTTTCTTTATGATTTTTGTTGATTTAATGGCTGAATTTTGCCACAATTCCAGGTTTTTTTCCCCTTATTTTAGGGTTTTGTGTTATTTTTTATTGGGTGCTCTTCAATTGTTGTTTTCAATGCATTTATTGATATAATATTTGAATTTTGCCTCTAACTTTGGGATATGTTTGGCTTTCTTGGGTTATTGTGATGTTTTATTATTTCAAATCGCTTGTGTTTTGGAATTGTTATTAGAAAAGTGATGCTTTACAGATTTGATAAAGAAGGAAATCGATGGAAAGAAAGGGGTAGGTACATTGAAGTTTCTAAAGCATAAGGTTTATGGGAAAGTTTCTAAAGCAGCACTTAAAGAACTCCCTGTAAAAAGAAGAGGCCGAGAAAAAGACATTGATTAGGTATGTTTATTGCTTGTTTAATAATTTATGTTGTTTAATATATGAGTCAATGATTAATGTATTTGTCTATCTATAATGAGTGCTTAATAGCATATCCCCTACTTCTATATATTTACGATTTTTTTTTATATTTTAGTTTTATGCGTTTTCTATTCGCTACTTTAAATTAACTTAATGTTATATGGGTTATATCATTTGATTTTATAATATTAGAATCTTTTTGGTTAGATGTTTAAAGACTATTGTAGTGATTTGCATTAAATTGTAAGCAGCTATAATATCTTTACAAAATCTGTTCATATAATGCAATTAAGCTGTCTAATAAACTTGTATCCAAGTTCTAAGGCTTAGTTGTTGGGGTGGGGGTTTAAGGGGACTAAAAAACTGAATATTACTAATAAATTTAGGCCTTTAAATACGCTACAGATATGTTAGCAAAACTTAGAAAACAAAGCTAAGAAATTGTATTAAACTTCAAGGAGAACAACCCTTACAAGCAAAACATGCTTACCAGACTTTCCAGCTTTACCACTTCACAAAACCTGACTTTATTAACTGACTTTTAGATATATCCTTGTATATAAAGTCCCTAGAATTTATGGCTTATCTTTTGTTATTTGGTATAATATTGTAGAACTTTTAAAATGTGAATCTTATAAAGATCTAAGATATAATTTACTTCTAAGAAACACAATCTTACTAACTTCACTTATATATCTCATATGAGCTGCATGTTTTGATGTATGTAGTTTCCTATGTCTGAAATTTTGTTCTCTACTTAGGTAAAACATATTGAGTTGTAGCAATATAGGATAGTTTTGCTCTGCTTTGCTCTTGGTTTTTCCTTGTCCTTGTATAAATTAACTGATTATCATTGATACCACCATCGATTATTAAGGTGAAAAGTTTGCTAGATGATTGAGTAGCTTTTAGATGTCATTTTTTTGTAGTATGTAGAATTACCTGCTTTATTAACTGCTTTTGTGCAAGGTCACAACTCACATATTTGTGTTCTCGCTGCTTTATTGCTGTTAGCTATTATGAATTGATTACTTAGTCATCATTGTTCCATTGAAAATGTTTAATGTATAATAGTAGGGCAATACTTGTAAAATTAGTTACATTGGTTTGTCAATTGCTTTCCAATCAAGTGTCTGATTGAAACACCCTCTCCGTGCTTGAAATTTTGAGAATAGCTGCAGTTATAATCATTGAGTCTATCTTATTTATGTCTTATTGTATGATTATATATCATGATTAGGATGATGTTAACCACATATTTATTTATATTTTCATTAGGTTTTTAGTCTGTATACTTGTATATAGAACACAGGTATATGTATTATCAGATTGCCAGTATATGCTCCATGTATATACCCTTGAGAAAGTGAGAAACATTCCAATGTTGCGTTTGTAGCTGATTGTATGCCTTGTTTTCTATCACAAGAAAGAGAATCTACATGAGTGTGACTACTACGTCATGCGTTATATGTACGAAATCCTTGAACATCATCATAACAGTGAGGATCTTATTAAGGTATGAGTTGTCAAATATTTCATTTTTGTTTTATAAATACAATTGAATGTTAGCTACAATCTTGAATTTAAACTTTGCTATTGTATATTTGTTGTGTTGATAGGAATTTTCAAGAACTACACCGTATAGCGAGGAGGAGATAAATCAGATTCGAGATATTTGGGCCAAGTATTTAATATTTAATGTTGAACATTAGATTTACACTTAACAAATATTGGACTCTTATTTTGGATTATAGGCTGGACATGAATGAATTTGGTTAATTGTTGTTGGGATAATGAGTAAAATGTCAATGATATTGAGATGTAAACTTATTGGACATGTTGTTAATATAATGCCGTCATTCCCAATTTTATGGGTAGGCCAAAATACAAAGGAAACTCTGACAAAATTTACATTTCCATTCATTAATATTGCATTTTTATTTTAATTATTGGTGTTAGCATATTACATAAATTGATGTGTCCAATTTATATAGTGTTTTACCCCCGTCCCTTGGTCATAATTAGCAGTGTTTTTGGCTCTTTAGAGCCACTTTTATTACTAATTGGTGTTTTCTAGTGTTTTTGTAGTTTTTCTTGAGTTTTGTAGTATATTGCACATTTAGAGCGTCTTCTAGGTTTTTCATGGAGCAACTACCAGAGGAAACCGGGGCATTTGGACCGAGTATTCAAGAACCGAAGTGGAAATTCGGATTGGGCCAAAGAATCAAGCCCAATCAAAGTCCAAACCTCGAGGAAGAGACCGGGCCCGATCGGGCAAGCTTGCGCTCGATCGAGCGGGCGCGCAGAAGAGAGCACCAGCATGAAGGTGCACCCGATCAGTTGAGCATTAGCTTGATTGAGCGTGGCTGGCTAGGAGGGTCCTAAAGAGAAAGGCGGGCACGATCGGGCGCGTGTTTTTGGAGTCGAGATTTTAGTTTTCAATTAGGATTTGTTTTAGGGATGTTTTAAGTACGATTTTTGTATGTCATTTTGATTACCTTCTCTTTTAGACTTTCTCTCTCTACTTAGAATATTTTCTCTCTCTTAAATTCTCTCAACTTTGTTCTTAATTCTATTCCTTAATCTAGATTTCTTTTGGTAACAATTTCTTCTCTTTTTAATTTAAGTTATTTTCTTTAATTCTTTCATCATGTCTTATTTTATTGTTTTGATTAGTTTAGATTTAATTATGCTTGAGTAGTTTTATTTATAGGGTTTATAGGGATCTAATAAATAATATGAAGGGGTATTTTATGATTGTTGATTATCAATGCTTCATTATTTTCCTATTGATTGATTTAATGCTATGCAATTAGGTTTGGCCAGATTTAATTGTATGAGTTTAGCAATATTGATTCAAGATTCGAGAGATAAAAATTGATGTTTAGGCTTATTTTCAATAGGCGGGCTAATTTATAAATGGTTAAGTCGAGAATCGAGAGATGAGATTTAATACCGGGAAACTAACTCTGTGATTGTAATACGTAGCGAAAGCCCTTTATAATCTAATTAATTGATGCATTGATGATTTCTTATTATTATTTACCCTTGAATATTGTTTATTAGTTTACCTATGCCCTAGATTTTTCCTTCATTGATTTACCCCTTATTTTACTCCCTTCCTACTCTTACCTTTAGCAATTTAATTACCTTTTCACAATAATTTGGTTACTTGGTAATTTAGATTGCTTCTAATTAATAAGGAATAAATTGACCTGTTTACCTGAGGTTCGACCCTTCTTCCCTATCTACATAGTTAGTGGATTCGGGCTATGGTGGTGTTGGTACGAGCCATGGTTGTGCCGGCTCGAGCTATGGAAGAGGCTACCAGAGGATGGACGAGGATGATGACAAAGAGTAGCTTCTCCTAGCTACACTCCGAAGTCAATGAGGGCATTGCTTGATTTGGCTTGGGGGGAGATTTCTTGTACATATGGTAACTCTTCCTCTCTTTTATCTATTTATTGCTTTTCTGTATTGATTTTATTGCTTTCTAGTGTAGTTTTTATTGCTATCCTTTATGAAAAAATACAAAAAAATTGGAAAATAAAAAATTCAAAAATACGTTCCAATAAATTGTAAATCATGCTTCCCTGTGTCCTATACTTGGAAAATATTGTTTTGATTCTTGGTATATGATAATGAGCTTTGTGAATTTATCGATCATGATTTGAATTTAATTGTTTGGATGCCTAAATATGCGTCAATTTTGCCAACTATTTGTGAATATAGTGCTTGACTAGTTGATTTGGTTAGGAATTGTGTGATAGTTCCTAGTATGTCAAGGAATTTGAGCATTGGTTCACAACTATTAGTAATGTTTGTATGACTCAATATTATGCACATTGAGGAGGACCAAGGCATTTGTTCTCTTCGGTAGCCTTTCAATGATATTAGATACATTTGTTCCCTTCTTGCTACCCATGTTGTTGCTTGTGCCCTTTTTATTGATTGTTTAGCTACATTACAAGCCTATATGAGCCCCATTGGTTACTAGTCCCAAGCTTGGCTTGGGGGAGCTATTAGTTGGCGAGGTGAGGGAGTTGTGGTGTGCATATTATTTGCACAATGTGGGAATAAAAGAAGAGTGATTGTTCTTTTAGTATTATGATTGGAAAAATATTGATGTTTTGTGTTTCAAAGTTGAAAATTTCCAATGTGAGATAAAAAGAAAAAGAAAAAGACCAAAGAAAAAAATTGTTTTAAATGTTCAAATGTTCTATGCGAAGGCTGCTAAAAAAAATAAAAAAAATATAAGAATATAAAAAAAATTCAAAAGAAGAAAAAAAAAAGTTCAAGTTTGAAAAAATTCAAAAGAAAGAAAAGAAAAAGAATAAGTAGATCCAAGTTTGTTTTAATTCACTCTAGTTCTTATTATCATACTTTGTGAGTGAATATGTAAGTGTTGGGATTGATGTTATGTATGGGATTGCTTGGTGAATTTTTGTCGAGTTAATTTGTGATTAGAGATATTTTGGGTCATTACTTGTTTTTGACCTTGGGTTTTTTTAGGATATGGCTCCCTTAAGCATGGCTTTTCTCTCACATTTTCCTAAATTTATCCTACCCTTTACCCTAGCCTTACATTACAAGCTTTAAAGACCTTCCGACCTTTTTGCATAAGAGTTGTATGAATGTGAAAGTGTTGATTATCAATGCAAGTTATGATTTGACATATTTCGAGTCGACTAGTAGGTTGTGCGCACATTTCTTTAAACACACGAGAGTGTGAGTTGGGAGGGAATTGTTCATATATAAAGGGGTTGGTTGGAGAGCGATCGAGTACATCTTTTACTCGCCACATAAATGAGAGTTGAGTGTGTGAGCACTAGTCTTGAATTCTATAAGCACATGTGGTTTGCTCTACTTGTCAATTGTTGGGGAGGACGAATAATTAGATGAATGAGATTGACTGACATTGAAGCATGTTCATTAGATTTATCTTGAATCGCTTTTGCTTGATTTTGTTAACTTGGGATAAAGCATGTTTTATATGTTCATTGATGAGCTCTTTGCTTAGAGACAAGCAAAGGTTTGGCTTGGGGGACTTCGATGTGTACAATTTATATAGTGTTTTTACCCCCGTCCTTTGGTCATAATATGTAGTGTTTTTGGCTCTTTAGAGCCACTTTTATTACTAATTGGTGTTTTCTAGTGTTTTTGTAGTTTTGCTTGAGTTTTGTAGGAAATTGCACATTTGAAGCGTTTTCCGGGTTTTTCATGGAGCAACTACGAGCATTAGGAGGACACGACCATTTTTGAAGCCCAAGACCTGTTAGAGCCGATGATTAAGGGCTCGGTGTGTGATACCGGGGCATTTGGACCGAGTATTCAAGGAAATCCGGATTGGGCCAAAGAATCAAGTCCAATCGAAGTCCAAGCCTCGAGTATAGACCGAGCCCGATTAGGCAAGCTTGCTCCCGATCAGGCGGGAGCGCAGAAGAGAGCACCAGCATGAAGGCGCGCCCGATCGGGTGAGCATTAGCTCGATCAGGTGCGGCTGGGCAGGAGGGTCCTGAAGAAAAAGGCGAGCACGGTCGGGCGTGTGTTTTTGGAGCCGAGATTTTAGTTTTCAATTAGGATTTGTTTTAGGGATGTTTTAAGTACGATTTTTGTACGTAATTTTGATTGCCTTCTCTTTTAGACTCTCTCTACTTAGAATATTTTCTCTCTCTTAAATTCTCTCAACTTTGTTCTTAATTCTATTCCTTAATCTAGATTTCTTTTGGTAACAATTTCTTCTCTTTTAATTTCAGTTATTTTTTTTAATTCTTTCATCATGTCTTATTTTATTGTTTTGATTAGTTTAGATTTAATTATGCTTGACTAATTTTATTTCTAGGGTTTATGGGGATCTAATATATAATATGAAGGGGTAATTTATGATTGTTGATTATCAATGCTTGATTATTTTCCTATTGATTGATTTAATGTTATGCAATTAGGTTTGGCCAGATTTAATTGTATGAGTTTAGCAATATTGATTGGATATTCGAGAGATGAGAATTGATGTTTAGGCTTAGTTTCAATAGGCAAACTAATTTATAAATGGTTAAGTCGAGATTCGAGAGATGAGATTTAATACCGGTAAATTAACTCTGTGATTAAAATACGTAGCGAAAGCCCTTTATAATCTGATTAATTGATGCATTGATGATTGCTTATTATGATTTACTTTGGAATATTGTTTATTAGTGAACCTATTCCCTAGGTTTTTCCTTCATTGATTTACCTCTATTTTACTCCCTTCTTACTCTAACCTTTAGTAGTTTAATTACCTTTTAACAATAATTTGGTTACTTGATAATTTAGATTGCTTCTAATTAATTAGGAATAAATTGACCTGTTTCCCTGTGGTTTGAACCTTCTTCCCTATCTACATAGTTAGTGGATTTATGTTTTATTTTTGATTAGGTGAATACGACTTGAGCCTATCAGATATACCACTACCAAGGGAAACATGTACTACAAACATATACAAGCAATTATTATAATTAAAAATAAAAAAAAATCACATTATTTGCGTCACTCATTAAACAAACAAGTGACGAAAATAACTCGCATTTGTATTGTCTAGTAAGTCATTTGCGTCACCCATATACAAACAAGTGACGCAAAAAAAAACAAGAAGTTGCTCAGAACAACTTTTTTTGTCACTTGTTTATAAAGGAGTGACGCATATAACTCTTATTTACGTAACTTGTTTATAAAGGAATGATGCAAATAACTCTTATTTGCGCCTAGGAGCGACACAAATCATTTAAAAGTCATTTGCCTAGGAGCGACACAAATCATTTAAAAGTCATTTGCCTCGCGAGCAGTTGCGTTGCTCATAGAAGCGACGCAAATACACTGTAAACGTGCGACGCAAATAATCCTTTTTCT